CTGAGAAAAGCAGCAAACGTGGGGTCGCAAGGAAATTTTCGCTCGACAAGTTTCGTGCTGCCCCAATTGACGATATTCCCTGCTTGATATTGTATTTGTAAGGCGGCTCACCGGTCCCCGATAGCCTGCGTGCGCTGCAGCGGGAGTGACTCGAGGACGTATATTTACTCCGCTATTACGTCTGAGTCTGAGCGGCAACTTGTTCCCTCCCTTCCTCCACCCGCCTAGCTTATAAGTCTGCTTCTTTTCTTCTAGCGCGAAGTGGAAAAGTCAGTCCAGCATCTCACAGTTTTAACATCTTCCTTTTTTCTCATCTCAATTACAAAATGTCGCCTTCGGTGGTGGTCGACAGCGTGGCGGTTGAGACGCCGCCCCGTCCGGCATCGCCAGAACACGGATTCGGCACTCTAGCAGTTCACGCCGGCGCTCCCCTGGACCCTACCACCGGCGCTGTCATCGAGCCCATCTCTCTATCCACCACCTTCGCCCAGACGGCTGTTGGTCGTCCCGTCGGTGCCTACGAATACTCCCGTTCGAGCAACCCAAACCGCGATAACTTCGAGACTGCCGTCGCAGCCCTCGAGCACGCCCGTTATGCCCTGGCTTTTTCCAGCGGCAGTGCTACCACGGCCACTATCCTGCAGAGCCTCGCCGCCGGCTCCCATGTCATCTCAGTCTCGGATGTATATGGCGGCACCCACCGTTATTTCACCCAGGTCGCAAAGGCCCACGGTGTCAGGGTCACATTCACACCCGAGATCGAGGTCGACGTCAGTGAGCACATCAATGAGCAAACCCGCCTGATCTGGATCGAGACCCCCAGCAACCCCACGCTGCGTCTCGTCGACATCCGAGCCATCGTCTCGGTGGCCCACCGCCATGGCGTCCTTGTCGTTGTCGACAACACCTTCCTGTCCCCCTACGTCCAGAACCCTCTCGACTTCGGCGCCGACATCGTCGTCCACAGCGTCACAAAGTACATCAATGGCCACAGCGACGTGGTAATGGGCGTTGCCGCCTTCAACTCCCCCGAGCTCAAGGAACGTCTCAGCTTCCTCCAGAACGCTATTGGCGCTGTCCCCTCCGCCTTTGATTCCTGGCTGGCCCACCGCGGCCTGAAGACGCTCCATCTGCGAGCTCGCGAGGCCACCAGCAATGCTACTGCCGTTGCTGCTGCCCTCGAGGCCTCACCACATGTCATCGCCGTCAACTACCCGGGACTGGACTCCCATCCCCACCGCCACATTGCTCGCAAGCAGCACCGTGACGGCATGGGAGGCGGCATGCTGTCCTTCCGCATCCGCGGGGGACACGACGCTGCTGAGCGCTTCTGCCGCTTTACCAAGATCTTCACTCTCGCAGAGTCCCTGGGAGGCATCGAGTCCCTCGTCGAGCTGCCCAGCAGCATGACACATGCCGGTATTCCCCGGGACCAGAGAGAGGCCGTCGGTGTCTTTGACGACCTGGTCCGTGTCAGCTGCGGTGTCGAGGATGCTGAGGATCTCAAGAGAGATGCTCTCCAGGCTGTGGAGAAGGCCGTTGCTGGAGCCAAGAACGGCACCAACGGTTCCGACTAATTGCCGTATCTTGTATACGTGCCGAAAAAATTATAGAGGAGGAGGAGGAAAATAAGAAGGATCGAACTGGGTTAGTAGTTATTAGGATCGCATGCTTTATTTTCTTTTGTTATCACTGTTAGACTTTCCTCTTTCAATGGAAGTGGAGGAAGACTATGAGGCCATGATGAGATGCTATTTCAACCATACTTCTATGACTTGTGGAAAGCTATGGGTTTGCTTGGAAAAAGGGGATGTTTGAATGCTCCCGACGATCAATAAAGATTATTACCGTGCTAACAATATCTGTCTCCAATCGATCTCTGTCAGGTGAAGCGTATTGTATCGAAGCCACCTCTTTGACCTACCCTGGCAAACGACTGATATAGAATGGCACACCTAGAACCTCCAGCATTGAATTTCATAAAACAATTAACCAGTAATAAACACAATATCGAGCATTATATTATATAATAATCTATAATTGCTTTATTACTATGTCTATTGAGAAGAAAGTAGTCCCTGACTTGTGTGAACAGAGCTTCATTGTGCCGTTTTTTGTGTCAGTTGCTTGTCTAGATATCGTCGGGGTGTTGTACGGTTTCAGCTAACACATCAATTGATGTCTCTAGGCACATCAATTGAATGGGTAGGAAAGTTTCTGCCATCATATAGGGCAGGAGAACCCCTTTTCTTGTGCTCTGGTTGCATGCGTCGGCCATTGGAGGGCATTTGGGTGAGACAGTTCACACCACCATGTGTTTCGATTCTCGTATCGATTGGTGTAAGCTCAAGGGTTAGACAAGAACGTTGAAAGCGACGAACCTGCAAACAAACACATGGTAGTTCTAGAATTCATAGACCCACGGCAATGCAAATTCCCCAGTATATGACCGACAGCGGCAATTTCTTCTGAAAACTCATTCCAGAAGCCGTGTATGTGGACATTACTCTGAGTCTTCAAATCTCATCTTACAGCATCCGTGGCTACCCTGCAGCAATGTAACACGACAGAAACCATACATCACACCGTGTTACGACAAAGGACTGCATGAGACATGCGCAATCAAATGATTACTCATTCCACATCTTGTGCTGTGCCACCACTGTGACAGTTTATTATCCTGTGGTTTTACCCGGATCTATCTGAGGTGTTTCACACCCATCTGGCACAAGCAGATGTGTGACCTTTTCACATTCTGGAGCACACATAATTTCGCATTGATAAAATTTCGGGACCTCTGCATTCTCAAGCACACGGTCCCTTCAATTGAGTAATTTTGCTCTTACTGCCGGTGTGGAGTGTCACAAACGTGCAGATGCAGGACGAGATATAGATATTACCGCTGTTTGATATGCCAGAGCCGACTTGGCTTGGTTGCTTGGTGGACAGTGCAGATCGTGATCGAGCCACCAGGATCCATTAATTTTCAGGGCGAGTGGTTGGGATGCGGGCAAGGTGGGGGAGATACGACTGGTGAATCAGGAAATACCCATGCAGAAAACCCATGAATTCCATAGCGGGCACATGATGCGGAAGGCCGCTGGTTCTCTAAATCCGAGGCAATTATCGATTCGTGGCTATAATTCGATGGTTGGTCAGCGGCTTGTGCTAACCACCTCAATTCAAACCGGGCTATCGACGACTCTGTCCACCGCTAATGAGGCATGGAGAAAAGCCTGAATTAGGACGCGCATTCACGGAGCAATTTAATTTACAGTTATCGCCAATTGGGAGCAATGGGGTTGCAGCCATGTTTCAACTGTTTCAGATGATATCGAGCCGATGTGGATGGGAGGAGGGCAGAGGAAATGAAAGACTCGCGGTGGAGACGTAACGTGGGATCACAGGGAAGAGGGGACGAGAGGCGAAGGACCAGGGTAGCAATAAGCTGCAGCACGGGCATTGAGCAGAAGTTTGACGGTCCGGGCCACAATGGGACCGACCTATCAAGTGCAGCGATTGGGCTGGATCTGTGGTCTGGCACCAGCGTGTTAAGTGTGCTCTTGGCACAGGTGGGCAAGGGCCAAACAGAGAGAGCCCGGGACCAGCAATGTGTGTTGCTCCCGGAGATGATTCAAATTTCGCATCTGGCAGGGATTGGCGCACATCACAGCGCAATAATTAATATTGCCAGGACACGCTGCCTCCTGCGCGGCCGTGGTTCAATTATCCACCCTCAATCGCAGAGGCCGACGAGGACATCGTCTCATGGGGAAATTCAACCGTGACCACCAGGACAGGCACCAGGCTGGAGCTACACGACGTCGTTCCCCGTGTCCAATGGTGCATCGAATCGTCGTAGTGGTCGCTAGTCTCCACAGTGATGCGTCCGCGTGCAGAAGAGAAGCATTAGCGCCACGCCGAGACGCCGAAGCCAGATGCCGGGGCATACGTATTATGACATGATGCACCGATTACGTAGCTCCGTAGAAATCTTTTGTTTGCAAGCCACAGAGCTTGTCCGGAAAGTCAGTCCATTCTGTGCCTGAGCGGGAGCAGCTTAACGGCGATCAACGCTCGCCCTCGCAGTCCACCGTTTTCGGCATTGGGCAGCTGCTGGGAGACGCGGGAGTGCCTGGACTAAGCAAGGTGCGACGAGCTAAGAAATGAGCACTCGACCTTGGGTCCATTGGCAGAGTCGTTATTTTGCAAAGAGGAGTTCGCCTGCCCTTGTCGGGTAGGTCAAGGTACCTCTCTATCTGGGCCGCAGTACACGCCTGTCAGTGTCTGGCCGCTAACGCGCTCGCTTCGTCAAGTATCACCCCCGCAAGACAGGGCGGGGTAGGTACCTGCCAAGGAAAATAATTTGCCTATCCAACTGTAAACAAGAAGTACCGCGTGTACATGATATCGCCTCCGGCCGGGTAGCTGCACCCACAACTGGCCTGGGCCCATGTCTGCCAAGCTCCCTCGAGGGCGATACGTACGTGCTGCAGGATGTTTTAATCCGTCAGTGATGGGGAGCCGCCAATCTTGGTTTTTGACGCAGATGGTTCCGTCTGGCCACCTCTGCAAGGCATTGAGAGCCCGGCCAGCTGCACCACACCTCCCCGTCTTTTAAGGTACCTACCTTAGCTTTTGTTTTGCCTTCCCCGTTGCTTGTTGCCCCCTCCCATTATCTTCCACTTCCTTCCTCCACCTCCTACCTTACATAGGTACCTTCCTGCCCGTTTATTCGTCCAAGCTTCTTTTCTTTTCCTCTCCGCCTCTTCCCTCCTCCACAACAACTGCCAGTGCACCAGACAAGTTATCCGCATAACTTATCGAGACATTGAGGAAGAAGCAGAAGAAGCCTTTACACAGCATCATCACCCGAGTATCACTTGGCCTGCCCTTGCACGACTTTGCTGAGCATTGCGCCCTCGTTTCTTCCCCAGCATCTCAATCCGCACTTCGTCTCCATTTGCGAGTAACGCGACACAAACAAAATCACACTCAAGATGCGATCCTACGCTGTTCTAGTTGCTGCTTTCGCAGTCGCTGCCAACGCAGCCAACTATACCAGCTCTCTTAACATGACCATCGTCCCCAACTCCGTCGATGACAGCACCCGAGGTGAGCAGACCAATATGACCCCAAGCAGTTCTTCTGGAGCCAATAGCTAACGTAACGATCGTGAAGCGAGCTGGTGCACTGCCCAGGGCAATACTTGCAAGTCATTGTGCTCTGGTCGTACCTCAAAGAATGACTGTGACTACGTACGTGTTCTTCCTGGCCCTATATGTGTTTTACTGCAGTGGTACACGTCCAATCTTTGGAAGATTATTGTCAATCTAACACTCTCTCTGCCAGACTACTTTGGTCTACGACTGCGCATGCTCTGCCAACAACTCGGCTCCTGGCCTTGAGTACTACACCCAGACAATGCCAACCTTCATCTGCGACACTCTTCTCGCTCAGTGCTACAAGCAATATGAAAACAACCAGGATGGCCAGCAATCTTGCAAGGATGATATTGGAAGCTTGTGCGCTTCCCAGGCCCCTCCCACCTCCTCCAATTCGGGCAGCTCGTCTACAACCACTTCCGCCTCCTCAACTGCTTCCCAGTCCGCCACCCAGACCACTCAAGCTGCTGCGTCTGCTACCTCCGACCAGGGCGGCTTCGCTGCTGCCACCGCTATCCCCAAGCACGCTGCTGCAGCTCTTGCAGCTGGAGCCTTGTTTGCCCTTCTTTAAGTTGTGTGATCATGCCTGAGACTCAATTGAGCTGAGGGGGCTCTTGTTTGAAGATATGGCCCTGCTGCGATCAGACAATTTGGAACGGGGAGGTGCTGAGGGTTTGGCTTGAATTGACGGGGATTGGCTGTCTCATTGAGTCTGCCATGCTCTTGGTCGAGGATTGATCTACGATCATGAATTCACGCGCTTGAAAAGAATCCAAGGAGCGAAGACGATGATGGAACGATTTGATATGCACCAGATATCGACACATGACGATGCGCGAAATACCCAGGAGACAGTAGGCATTCCTTCTTCAGACTTGAGCCTTTGACGATGTCTGAGGTTGGGCCTAGCCTTAATGGATGTGACGATGGGGGATACATGAAGGGGTTTGTGGTTTTTTGTTTTGCTTTTTACGTTTTTAAATGCATTGTCCTTCCTGCACTATACACCAATGAGGCGAATGGGAGTAGGAAAGTTAGTTTTTAGCCTTACAGATTTGAATCAATGACATCGACGAATTCACACCCAATTGACCGCACAGAAAGTTGAATGATGCTAGCAATCGTAGTTGCTGGTCTTCGTAACGTCTTCCGTCATGCGCAGGATAGAGACAGGAGCGGCGTTAACTTGAAGGTGTTCGCAACGTTGTTATGACAAGGGCCCTTTTGTTTGGACGGTCCGCACTGATTGAGAATGATTCCCACCACCTGTTCAGTTTGAGCCATGAGATCCTGGGCATCTTTAGACATTGAAGCCACAGGTAATTGTCAAGAAGAGACCAAAGGGGGCTGTCTAAATGTGTAGAGTAATTTTGAAGTGTTCGTCAACAAAACCAAAACCAGTACCTACCGAATCGATTCTATCTCCCACAACCTGTACGCCTAAATGGCTAGATTATTACTGGGACTTATTCATCCCTAATGTTGCACCATATCTCTTTATTTTACCTCAATCGTTCTTTTACCGAATATCACGATCTAATGGGAATATAGGCAGTCCAGGGTAAGGAGTCGGACAGGATCCGGATTAGAAATATACAACTGAGGTCACATTGTCAATTCATGCCATTTAGGTGTGATATCTATGGATGGTTCTTCATAATTGTATGTCCATTAGGAGGATAGAACGGTTGGATCATGTGGAGGTAGTCGGGGGGTAGCTTGGGAGGGCTCGACGTTTGGCATGAGCTTCGAAATAGCTGAGAGATGATGTGCCAGCTGCGTAGAAAAGCCACCAGGGAACCAAGAAAATGGCTTCGTATGCCCATGTAGAGACTACTGCCTTGCAAAATTAGAGGTTTCTCTTGTCCAATGTCCATTTGGAGATGCGTGGGAGTTGAGTATGTGGGCAATGATCCAGGGGATCTCAACGTCACTTGTTTGGAAATGGGGCAAAAGGGATTCATCCTTGGGGACAAAGAAATCCCTATCTAATATAGAAATTGCGTTCTTTGCACTAATATTACCAGGGCGTTGGGAGAGAGTTCTTATGCTTGGAGTTTGGGAGAGTTCACCGTCAACCTTGGCTGATAGAAAAGACTGGCAGGACAGGATCATAGGATGGAGTATTCTCTGAACGGGACTGTAGTCACAAGCGGTGCAGCCCACCATGTCGGAAGCTTAAGCGGCCACCACACCATGGAGGAGGACGTATGAAAATGATAGCCAACCTGATGAGACAAGCCAGCTGGACAGCGTACCGACGAGGGCATAGAACTCGCCATGGCCTGAGGCTGCAAACTCAGAATGCAGCTTATGGAAAAGGGGAAGGACGGCATACGGTGAAGGGAAAACACTTTTCACATTGAGAGTTACGAGAAATTAAATTTCTTACGCCGCATTTCACACCTGGGGTGGTTTTTACAAGAGACCATAACGAAGTGACGGTGAGCCATATTGAGAAACAACGAACACAGCAGGTGGGTGAACACTTCGGCTCAACTTCAAGCTCGCTCCTGAACGGTGGCTGGATCAATAATGACTGCATTACACGTCAATGTACGCACCTACCTACGGAATGATACGGCGTGTGCATATTCCGCTTCAATGGTTGAACTCAGATGTTGGTTATCGGCTGAGAGAGTAAGCGTGAAGTGTCACGAACGTCTGAAACACGGGACTGGAAACTTGATAGGTCACAGTCATACGTGGACGTTGAGGCCGGCAGAGCCAACTGGGGGGCGTCGGCGATGGGGGAGATTGGCAGTTTGAGTTTCCTCATCGCGAGGTCTGACCGCATGCCGTTGGGCCTGGCCGTTGCCAACATGACAGGGGGAAACGCAACAAGAGCCCGCAGCCTCTGGCTGAAGTTGGAGTTGGGAGGAAACTTGCTCGGCAGGGCAAGCGAGGACCTTTGGTCGTGAGAAGAAGGCAACTGAGCTGCAGCTGCAGCCGTGGCCGCTCGGGCGTCACGGAGGCGCCGAATCGATTAATATCGACATATTCGGCATGTTGTTCAGGGCTGGCAGGTAGCCCCAAGGAAACAAGCGGTGCGCCAAGCTGGCTGGCGGCGGATGTGGTTTGCTGGCACCACTCGGGCCTGGCAAAGGGCCCAGCGCGCAGAGAACATGATGGAGAACCGTCTTCCAGCGGTGTGTGGAGTGCTCAAAGGTAGGAGAGATGCGGAGGAGCGCCGGTTGGTCGAGCCTGATGGGACCGGGAACTGAGACGGCCGTCGGTTGGGCTTACACAAGCTGCAGCTCCCCACAGAAAGAGGCACAGACGACTGGGCGGGAGTTGGTGCACGTGGAGATGGAGAGATGCATGCGTGCGGAGGTCTGAGTGCATGTATCCCCTCAGGCGTAGAGATCCTGCTGCTGCTACTGATCGGCTATTTGGCGATGAAGGGGTCGGGCAGCAATTGCAGAGTGAGATGGCAAATAGCAATTGAAATATGCGCAATTGAGGCACTGAGCAGGGCGGACAGCCATGACTTGGCCCTATCAGATCTGTGAAGTCGTCCGGCCGGGAGGGTTGGGTGGTTAGACTATGGTTTCAGACTTGCAAGGCGGGAGGGGCGCATGGAGATGTTGGAGAGGAGGGTCATGATTGGATCTTGTGTCGGGAGGGTTGGTGGTCAGCCTGCTCAACAGGAGGAGGCAGAAGAGTGATTGTCGCCAGAGAGATGGATGCGCTGGAGGTAGGGCTGGTCCTAGTCTGCTGCACTGCCAGGTGGTGGTGGAGGGCATCGCCGGATGATAGGCCCAGGGAGCGTCGACGGTGTTGAGGTTGAGCAATGGGAGGAGAAGCTGCTGACTTGCTTGTGTGGCGGATCATGGTGGCTGCATTGCAGCTCACCCGCAGGCCCTTGAGCTGCCAGAGAGTGTTTTAGGAAATAGTACTGCCGGGGACCCCCTTTTTTCTTTTCTTTTTCTCACGCTGGCCCTCATGACGGGAGGATGTTGGTCATGGTTGGTGAAGCTCGGAGTCGGTGTGGTCGAGAGAGAGGCTATCCGTCCCGGCTTATGTGAATACCAGAGGTACTGGGTAGGTAGACAGGAGGCAATGTGAGTCGCTTCTGTACCAAGAATCGACCAGCCCAGTACTTGCCTTCATGCGAGATTGCAAACAAGAGCCCCTAAAGGATTCACCATGATATCAACCATACTCGATTTGTTCAGCCGAACCTCTCAAGCCTCAACTGTCAGACCGACGGCCGCAGGGGAACCCTTGGTTTGGACTTGGAGATGGCGATATACACAGGTAGATTAGAGTCTCGGAGTGTTTTGTTTGATAGACCGCAAGGCAGCCATGTGATGCGATGCCTGCCGCCATGCATGCACGAGCCGTGTCTTGACTTTGATTCAGCGTGGCCATTCATTGCACGCGACCTGTCCTCAATCAAACGCACGTACATCATTTAGGTACATGCAGTTACTGACCGCTCAGCGGAACTGTCTCGGATTGGCAGTTTCATGGGAGGCTGATGATCGCCTGTGCTGGAAGATATCATTATCAAGCGGACGAACGGGACCCCTATCTGTTAATCAAGTAAGCTGCGTGTCTCAAGTCTGTTACAAGGCATTGTTTTTGACCCAATTCTCTCTACCTTACTGATAGATAGTAAGTGATTATTCATGTCTGGAAACGGTATGACCTGGCCATCGCTCAACCGCGCGCCGCTGTGCCTCACGCCTGCCACAATCAGTCAATCAATGCATAGACCTGCAACGCAACATCACATCTTTCCAATAGCTTTGTCAAATGAGAGTGCCGGGAGAGCTTGACCCGAGTTGCTTACCAACCCCCCCTCAAACCTGGTCGCTTATCTGCCATCTTGGCCATATCTGCATAGTAGCACCTACTTACACACAGAGCCCTCAACACCAAGGACCCATCGTGGGCCAACGGCGACCAAATGGCCGCACGTCCCCAGGCACCTTCTCGGCCGGATGCCATGCACGTGTGCTGCGCTGGAGCAAGGGGCGGCCAAGCAAGGCACACACCAAGGGGGTTTTTAGCAAGCAGCGTGTTCACGTTATTTTTTTTCTCCCTCTCGCCGTGCCTTGCATACGACTGCCCCCCCTTAGCTGGGATGACGTGACGCTATAAGCACTTGAGGTGTTTATTCCAGTTCGGGCAAGTTGGAAAGATGGACGTGTGTCTGGAGAGGATGGAGCCTCGATCGACCTAGTGTCGTTTGAGGTGCCTGTATTTTCTGAGGGGGGCATCAGAAGGGGAGGCGGTGAAAGAAGATGGAGATGGGCAGTTTCAGCCTCTTCCATTGTTTCTGCTTTGGAGGGGGCGGGGAGGCAGTTTGGGGGGGAGTTAGTGGGCAGAACTACTGTGTCTTAGCGGGTTGGTGAAGCAGCTCGGCCGGATCCCCCAACTGGTACTGGCCTACGATCCTCAACTGCATTATTGCCAGCCCATGTCTATAGAGAGTTCTAATGAGATGGAGGGAACGCTCTGCGGCGTGGCAATATCGTGGTTACTGTTCACGGCAGGCACGCGCACGTTTTCACATCTATATTGTGCTCTTATATCATAGTACCTGCAAGGGATGAATGGCTG